GTTCAACGAGTACGAGTTTTCCCAATGAGAATTACTGTTACCAACAATTTATATTCATAGCGATAGCAATGATGTTCACCACAATGTCTTGTTACACTCATTTGTATTGTGCACAAATACGATTGTATAACTCGACCAGACACTAGATTCCATTTTTAGCGGCAGTTACACATTTGTCATGCTTTAGTAGCTAGAACTTATACAGAATACATGTACATGTACACAATAACGATAACAATAATACAATTCTATTTACACACAAGTATCATTCTATATATAAATCTGTATGTATTGTAAAAATTCCTCGATCAAATAATACACAACGAAATGATAGCATAATTATTTGCCTTTTTTGTGTGCTCATATCACACCAAGTCATTATATCGTACGTATTAGCGTTAGATGACAACAACGACTACAAATTACAATGACAAGTGCTATGTGATGAAAAAAAAAGGAGGAAGAAAAGAAGCATAGAAATATCCGTAAATCAAATTTAAAATCAATTGTTTCACATATCGATATCGATATCGATATGTAATATACGTATTTTGGATTTGTGTATCATAATTTAATTCGTTCCATATGTCTGTTCTGTGTATGAGTTTAATTTTTTCAGTTAAATACGATCGATGTTTTGGTTTTTGAGCAATTATAGAATTTTCCGTTTTTTTATTCTTTCTCTTGTAATATATTTTATATTTTATTTTTCATAAAAAACTACGATGGGTTGCCGGTCATCTCATCACATAGAAAGTAATAAAAAATCAATATACTGTATCATGCTTTACGAGAGTAACTACAAATTCTAACATCAGTCAATCTTATTTTTTTATGAAGAAAATACAAGTTCCATGTTAGAGAAGAAACATAGAGAACACGAAACATCAACAAAACATAAATTACGAAATGAGCATAGAGTGCTTATATATGGTAAAATCAGTGTTATCAGTTTCATAACTCCAGTTATTTTGGTTTTTGTACTGGAATTATAAACTTTTACAATTCCAGTACTCCAGCTGGCGCAGTTTTTATAATTACAGTTATTTTAGTTGCCAACACTGTAAAATATTTTATCTATTATTCAGTCAAAATCATCAATTAATAATTAATCTAAATATTTTAAAGATCGAACACATAATGGACAAATTCAAGTGCCATTAGGTAAATCATTTAAAAAAATCCATTTTCTTTTTTTTTATAAAATTAAAAATAACATCGATATAATTTTCAATAAAAAGCACCAAAATACAACAATCATAATCATCACCAATCAGGAAAACCACACATCACACCAAACTTCCCAACATATATCGATGCAAAGTACGAAGAATTTCGAATTTGGTATTCCACCGCAACAAAATACTGTTACTGGAAACGACTAGGAAAACGCGCTTCATTGCAGCGACAAAATTTCGCACAGATAATCTTGAAAAAACTCGATGAACTCGAAATATGTCTACGTGAGAAGCAATTAATGGAGGGTCTCCATGATAATGATCCGATTGTGGTGAATCGCCTAAAGAATTTGGAGAGAAGTCAAGTGTTTTGGCAGGTTTTTTTGGGAAAAGGTGTTTTTATCGATTTACATAATGAACCAATTTTTGAAAAATGGTTTTATTTGGATTGGGATCAACAGTTTGGGTGTAATAATAAGAATTGTTGTTGTGTTGGTGGAAAGGCAAAGTGATTTGGTTTTGGATGGTTTTTTTGAAAAGCTTCTTTTTTATGGAATTTGACAAAAAAATAACATTTTTAATATAAAAGAAAGTTTATCATAGTATTTAAAACACTCTTTTATGCAATGCATAATCTAATTTATAAATAACAAAAGTAAGTCAAGAAATTTTATTATTTCAGCAAGCTGCTTGTTTTAGCTTGGTGAAATTGGATAATGTTGATACATTAACTTTAATTTTTCTATAATATATTTAATCTGAATCTTTTTGTCATTTTGTATATATATCATATCATTGAAAATCTTTTTGTTAAGCTTGATAAGAATTAAAAAATCGAGTAATAATAATTTTCATTTGATTTAGATTTGATATCTTATTAGAAGTTACTTTTTTTATTAACCAACTTTTATTTAATTTAATATTATTAAGGTTTGAATTATGAGTTGAAAAATTTAATTATATAAGCAATTATAAAATAAAAAATTTCTATTGGAATTAAAGCTTTATGAATTCAAATAAATTGAAGACTTTAATACGAATTAATTATATAATTAAGCTTTTATTTATATCTATATCTATATTTATATTTATATTTATATTTATATTTATATTTATATTTATATTTATATTTATATTTATATTTATATTTATAT